ATCAATCTTTTGGCAGTAATCCCGACGATTTACAGTTGAAAATACTGTGTTAAGCGACAGTGAACGACTGGCGTGAGAGCGAGTGAGTTCAGTATGTGCGTGGAATGCGACTAATGAGAGCGGGTCATAATTGCCGAGAGAAAAGTGTAGAGAGAGAGAGGGAGAGAGAGAGAAAGAGAGAGAGAGAGAGATCGAAGCCAAAGTATTTTGTCATGTTTCATCGTTATATATCATATATTCCATGTCTCGTGCAACAAATAAACAAATTAGAAAAACGACAACAATAACTAAACTTTCCAATATATATATCATCTTGCATTTCATGTTATCTCTTTATCTCTGTCTCTCGCTCGCTCGCTTCTTCTCTCCCCCCTCGCTCTCCCTTTCGTTTGTTCGTTTTGCTCGATACAAAAAATAAGGCTTCGATACGTTCATATATAAAACAATGAAAAATAGATTTAAATAACAGTAGAATAATAGGTACGCTACGTGCAATATTTTATAAAAATATATATGTATATATATATATATATATTATATATTGCGATGTACATAATTTACTTATATTTATAATAACTCTCTCGAAAGCGCATAAAACAACATAAAAATGAGAACAACAGAATATCAAGTGGAAAGACGACGGAGAGAAAGGATCGCACGCCGCGGTATCCGTGGTCTGCAAGTACCACCCTGGCCCGACACATGGTCGACCACCACCACTGAACGATCCACCGTTCCATCCAGCGAAAGAAAAAAAGAAAAGGAACTTTTTAAACGGTCGGACGAACGCCGGTCGGGGCTCGCACCTCGCGGCAGAACGGACACAGCAGACCGGAAGACGATACGCGGCACATGTTTCCGGGCGAACCCTCGTCTGGTCGATCGATCTCGGGATTTGGAACGGGTCTCTGGCTGCTGGTCGGAGAAGCCGTCATCATCGGCACGGTTCGAAGCAATCCGGTTGAACGCGGCGGAACAAAAGAACAACAACATCGCTAAGCTAACGTATCCCGATCGTACAACACATATAAACGCTAGAACAAAACAGTCGGTTCGCTTTTGATTTACGGTATGGCACTGCAAGATTTCGGTCTTACTCTCCCGGTTCAACGTCTCGAAGCGGAACACCGCGTCAAACCGACCTCTCGGCGGATCCGTGACGGATGAAAAGATCGCGGCCCTAGGTTAGACGGACCCTCGACCCCCCGGTATGATCGGTGTAGGCCGAGGGGGATGGGCTGTGGCGGACTCGTCTGCGACCAGAACGATCGAAACTCGGGACAACGGAGATCGCGACGACGACGTTATCGGCAGCAGCAGCAGTTGGAGGAGGATGAGGAGTTGGTGGTGGTGGTGGTGGTGGTGCTGGTGGAGGAGGAGAACTGGGCCAGGGAAATTGGAGCGGGCCGCGAGCACGTGTGTACGTGCACACGGACGCCGGCCGCTGAGACTGTGTGGCACGTGACGTAGGCTCGCGTAACAGACCTGCCGACGGAGATGACGATTCTGAGGAACGATGACGCCGGCTCTGCCGCGATAGATGTGTCGGAACCTCGGCCAAAGTGAAGGCTGCCCTGACGCGTCGGTGAATCGGTTATGTGTTTCTCTTTTCTTTTTTCGTGTGTCTTAGCAAAGTCGTCCCAAAGTCTAGCGGAGGTTCGCGACAAACTTGAGTCTCGTTTCGCCGGCCACCTAGCCGCGGGACCTAGGGCCCGAGGGTCCACAGGCCTCGTCTTCCGCGTGCTCGCGCGCGGCTCGCTCGAGGGGAAGACTGCGCGACGCGACGCGACGGTCGGTCGATCTCGCGCGCGATCCAGAGATTGATCCTCGAGAAACGTGGATCTCGTCCGAGGTGCGCGGAAGACGGTCTCTCGGTCAGCGTTGCGCGAAAGATGCTAGACCTGGTGCTGGAAGAAGAAGAAGATCTCTTCTGTCATGCTTTCGACGCTTCCAACCGAATCTAGCACCTCGAATCGCGCAACTCCCGGTGGTTCGGACCCGATGCGATGGACGCGCCGGCTCGATCCTCGAGCTTGATCGGGCTCGCTCGCTCTGCCTCATCCCGCAACCCCCATGCACACACCCCGCGTGTCTCTTTTCTTCTCGTCGACGCGACGCGCTCCGAGCTCCGGCAACCCCACCACCCTACATCCTCCCTTTTCCTTTAGTTTTTCTTCTTTTGTCATCGATTACTTATATATTTCCGGTCTATTCGCGGATCGACGGGGAACCTTCAACTCGTCGTTTTGTAAGTGGCTGCGCGAGAAGACACTGGTTTTATTCGCGCGCGACTGGATACAAGTGGCGTGCAAACTGCACCGATTCGCTTCTCCGATCGTTAAAGTCGAGCCCTGTCTCCCTATCTTTCTCTCTCCCTCCTCTCTCTCTCTCTTCTCTCGCCGCTCGAGGCTGTGACCCGCGTGTGCACGCTCGCGACACGGATTCCAGCGTTCGACGGCGCTTCTTCACCCTCGGATGAAACCTGACCGAACAAAAGCGGAAAGGAAAAGAAATAGTAAAAAAAAGGAGCGAAAACTCGAAAGCGTCCGCTTCCTCGCGCCCCTCTCTCGCTTTTGCTTTTCCTTTCTACCCGTCGATCTACTCCGCGATCCTCTAGATTCTATATGATCCTCTCTGTGCCGCTCGCACGCACACGCGCAGGCACACGCATACCCTGTTATCTCGCTTTCTCTCGTCTAGAATATCTCATTCTTCGCTATCCTTTCTCACTCATCTTTCGCCTCACCCCTCTCTCTCTCTTTTTCTCTCTCACATACGTACTCTCTTTCCCTTTCTCTCTCTCTCTCTCTCTCTCTCTCTCTCTGATCTCGAGCTGCGAGAATCAGATCAAACTTATGCAGCGAAGTTTTGAATGAAAGATTATCTGGTATGATCTACATACGCGTGTACGCTCACGCCGACCGTGTCCGCGCGCTTGTTCTTGCCTTGCGTCTCGTCCCGATTATCTCTCGGCTCGGTTTAGCTCAAATACGCACGACAGCGTCCCCGTAATATCGTAAACGTAGATGCTAAAGAGAATACCTATAAATATAGTTTATATGTATATATATAGAATATAATATAATATAATAATATAATATAATATAATAATAATATAATAATATATATATAATATAATATAATAATATAATAATATAATATATATGCTGATGTCATCACCATACCTTTCACACATCTTTCTTTCTCTCCCTCTCTCTCTCTCTCTCTCTCGCTTTCTCTCTCCCTCACTCTCTAATTTATACTTAACATAGAAAAAATATAGAATTTACTTTGCCTCGAACTTAAATACAATAAACCTCTTTTTCTTTCTCTCTCTCTCTCGAGCGTCAATTATAATACATATATATGTGTATATATGTATATATAAATATAAGATTTTTTCCATTCGTATGTTTATGTCTGTGTGTGATTTGTCCTGTGTACGTGCGCGTGTATCTGTCCATGTACGAATGTGTGTATGAATTCTGGATGATTGATTCAGATTGCGTTCAAGCGTGTTTGTCAATCAGTATTTGAGCTCGCGTGCTTGTTAAATGGCTGTGTTCGTGTGTGTTATTGTGTTGACGTCCGAGCACGGTGGTGCCTCGTTTATAGTCCAACTTCCATGAGGACTCGTCTTTGAACGATGCCGGTGAAAGCACGTTCATCGTAGGTTCGCGATCGTTAACGAACGGTGTGGCGCTACCGTGCACAGCCGTGTCCACTGGAGACGCCTGTAGGTTCGAGATAAGTGATGCTTCAATATGGTAACAAATAATATATTATATATATACGAATATACATTCGCGCGTATACTTATGACGCGTTTTATCCTTTGCTCAGCCCGCGTGCCCGCGCGCAATCCTGCGGTTGTGCACGCGCGTGCAATGGTACGTTTGGATGAACAGTCAGTCTGTGAGCACGTCCGTGTTCGTGCGTCTCTGAACGTATATATGCGTGTGTATGTGTTTGTTCGTGTGTACGTTCTGTTTGTCTGGATCGATCGATTGACTCGTTTTCGACGAGAAGAAAGATCGTCCAGTAATTTTCCCAAACGATGAGAACGACGCGGGAAATGAGAATGATGATTTTATGGTATCCGTTTTGGTATACGAGCGTGTGTGTGTGTGTNAGCGGAAAGGAAAAGAAATAGTAAAAAAAAGGAGCGAAAACTCGAAAGCGTCCGCTTCCTCGCGCCCCTCTCTCGCTTTTGCTTTTCCTTTCTACCCGTCGATCTACTCCGCGATCCTCTAGATTCTATATGATCCTCTCTGTGCCGCTCGCACGCACACGCGCAGGCACACGCATACCCTGTTATCTCGCTTTCTCTCGTCTAGAATATCTCATTCTTCGCTATCCTTTCTCACTCATCTTTCGCCTCACCCCTCTCTCTCTCTTTTTCTCTCTCACATACGTACTCTCTTTCCCTTTCTCTCTCTCTCTCTCTCTCTCTCTCTCTGATCTCGAGCTGCGAGAATCAGATCAAACTTATGCAGCGAAGTTTTGAATGAAAGATTATCTGGTATGATCTACATACGCGTGTACGCTCACGCCGACCGTGTCCGCGCGCTTGTTCTTGCCTTGCGTCTCGTCCCGATTATCTCTCGGCTCGGTTTAGCTCAAATACGCACGACAGCGTCCCCGTAATATCGTAAACGTAGATGCTAAAGAGAATACCTATAAATATAGTTTATATGTATATATATAGAATATAATATAATATAATAATATAATATAATATAATAATAATATAATAATATATATATAATATAATATAATAATATAATAATATAATATATATGCTGATGTCATCACCATACCTTTCACACATCTTTCTTTCTCTCCCTCTCTCTCTCTCTCTCTCTCGCTTTCTCTCTCCCTCACTCTCTAATTTATACTTAACATAGAAAAAATATAGAATTTACTTTGCCTCGAACTTAAATACAATAAACCTCTTTTTCTTTCTCTCTCTCTCTCGAGCGTCAATTATAATACATATATATGTGTATATATGTATATATAAATATAAGATTTTTTCCATTCGTATGTTTATGTCTGTGTGTGATTTGTCCTGTGTACGTGCGCGTGTATCTGTCCATGTACGAATGTGTGTATGAATTCTGGATGATTGATTCAGATTGCGTTCAAGCGTGTTTGTCAATCAGTATTTGAGCTCGCGTGCTTGTTAAATGGCTGTGTTCGTGTGTGTTATTGTGTTGACGTCCGAGCACGGTGGTGCCTCGTTTATAGTCCAACTTCCATGAGGACTCGTCTTTGAACGATGCCGGTGAAAGCACGTTCATCGTAGGTTCGCGATCGTTAACGAACGGTGTGGCGCTACCGTGCACAGCCGTGTCCACTGGAGACGCCTGTAGGTTCGAGATAAGTGATGCTTCAATATGGTAACAAATAATATATTATATATATACGAATATACATTCGCGCGTATACTTATGACGCGTTTTATCCTTTGCTCAGCCCGCGTGCCCGCGCGCAATCCTGCGGTTGTGCACGCGCGTGCAATGGTACGTTTGGATGAACAGTCAGTCTGTGAGCACGTCCGTGTTCGTGCGTCTCTGAACGTATATATGCGTGTGTATGTGTTTGTTCGTGTGTACGTTCTGTTTGTCTGGATCGATCGATTGACTCGTTTTCGACGAGAAGAAAGATCGTCCAGTAATTTTCCCAAACGATGAGAACGACGCGGGAAATGAGAATGATGATTTTATGGTATCCGTTTTGGTATACGAGCGTGTGTGTGTGTGTGTACGTGTATGCGCGCGCATGTGTGTGCACTATAGTGGCGATAGGTGAGCTGGCTGCGGGTTACATGGTTCGAGGGCGGGTGCGAAAACGTTCGAAAAGAAACACACACGGCAGACAAAGACAAAGACGCCAACAACGAAATTTATCGTAAAAAAAATATATATAAGGTAGATCAATCGATTAAAAAAAATGCGTTAAAAAATATAACTCGAAGGGGGTGAGCCTGGCTGAGAAACTACCGAGACACCCGCTATTACAGAGCTGCGGCTCGAACGATCGAAAAAATATCCTCTCTCTCTTTTCCCATCATCCATCGAACACTGGATGACGCGTACAATATATAATATATATATTTATATGTAATATGTATTAATAATACACCTCGACTTGTTCGGAGCTGCGACTTGAGCATATCTTCGTTTAAAAATGGCAACGATTGACAAGAAGTTTCGACGATTAAAAGAAAACGAAACAAATAAACAAGAAGATGTAGAAACAGAAGAAGATGATGACGATGAAGAAGATGAAGTAGAAGTAGAAGCAGAAGACGTAGGGGGGGGGGAAGATATGAAGAACGATGAATGTGTATACAAAAAGAGAATCAAACTCGAAATCCTAGGCAGCATAAATAAAAAAAAATATATATGTAATAAGAGAAAGGGGCCCGTCGGATCGTCAAACGTAGGGACTGTTCCTCGGGGGCCCGCTTAACGGCTACTAGTACAGTTTCGTTCCTCGGTTAATTTCTTTTCCTTGAAATCCTACGAAACAAACGGGTCAAAACGTGCTCGTTGCGCTCGAGGGCGATGAAGGTCGATCGTTCAGCATCTCGTCTCCTTCCGGAGAGCGGGATCCCGCGAACGATAACGAGACGTTCTCGGCGAGAAAACAAAATGGGAGAAATCGGAACATAGAAGAACATAGAGAGACACGTACCGGCCACCCTCCCGGCCGAGGTCGGGGATGGATCTCGCGTCTTCGGGAGCTCGAAAACGCGAGGATCGTCCGAGGAGGCGCGTCCGCGAGGAAGGACGAGAAGGGGCACATCGTTCGAAACGAAACGAGAAAGAAAATAAAAATACATCGTGGGTCGTCCTTTCTCGAAGGACGCGGGTAGACGACGGGCGTCGTGGCCCGTGTCGAGAGGGTGCGGTACAGTGTACACGTATAATAGGCGCCCGAGTACGCATCTATCGTAACGTAATCATGCAATAGGATAGAATATATATATATGTATATATATATATACATATATAATGACGGTTCGTTCAAAGAAAAGCTAAATAGACGGGTCGTCGATCCCTACGTGAAACATACATCGTTTAGTCCTCCTTTGAAAGTGTGAGTTATTATTACTCGATTATTACTACGGTTCGAAGAATACACTTACGGGAGTGGTCGGCCGTGTCCGATTGGCGGAGATCGGTCGACGACTTCATTCTTTCGTTCTCTTGTTCTCGTTCTTTCAGCCGGTCGAGAGGAGAGCCGGTTCACGCGTTCCCGCGATGCGCCGCCGTTAAAACATTTTGTTTCCCTTAACGCCCCCGTCGTCTCTTCGCCCCCCCTTTACCACGCTCGCTCTCTCTTTTTTTACGTCTCTCACTCTCCCCCTGTTTCTCTCTTTTTTTTTGTCTGTTACTTCTTTTCATATATAATTCTTATAATAACTTCTTTTGCCGGCCGGCGTGTGCAGCTGTCCCCGACCACCCGTCGTCCCGTCGACGAAACGCGCGAAAAATACAAAATCTAAATCTCCTCGATAAAATATCATCCCTCTTACTCGTCGTCAGACTTCTCTCTGACACCATATATATTTATTTATTTATTTATGTTTATATTTATATATATAATATATATATATATATATTATTAATATTATTATTATTTCAATTGCTATGTCGCTTATATAAAGGTAAGATAATACTCTAGTAGCGAGGGAGGCTGGGTGGACACGGGCACGCCGTTTCATTTTTTTTCCTTTTTCTTTAATAATACTATAATCTAAGGAGTTTTCGCGGCGGATCGAGGAACACGTGATCTCTAGTCACCTTCATCCCTTTCATACTCTTCTCTCGTATGTGTATCCGTATTTCATACGCGTCTCTCTCTCTCTCTCTCTTTCTCTCTATGTGTTTATGTGTATGTGTTCTGTATGTACGTGTACGCGCGTGTCTGTTTATATATGCATAATATACCGTATGTGTACGTGTGTTAAACGTGTGTCATGAGAATGGCGGATCACGCCTTCTGGCATTTACGATGCGTTCCGTGTGAGTTGCGTCCGTGTTATTTAATTATCTCGGTATAAGTCGTTCGCTACGGTTCCATGTGCGACATGCTCGCAGGTCTCGGAAGTCCTCGTGTCGGTGCATCGATCGTTGGATCCGCTTCCGATCGAACGTTCTCGCGGTGTCGCGGCAGGCCGAACGAGACGGGAGACCAAACTGCGCACGATAATTCCGACAACTTTCTGTCCGATCGACAACAGAAACGAGAAAGAGAACCAGAAGAAGAAACTAAAACGGCTCGAAAGGTTCCCCAACGACGGATGCACGGACCTTCCTCTGTCGCAGTTTAACCGATTCGTTTGATTATCGCCGAACACGCCCCGCAGCCGCGTGACCCAACACTGCTGCATCCTCCGTGACTCTCCGCGAGGTTTTGTCTTTTTTTGTCTTTTTTTTTGTCTTTTCTACCGTATATAGTACGAAAGCGTCGTCGCGTGATTCTCTGCGTTTCGCAATGTTTATTTCGTTACGAGAAGGAAGAACATGTGGTCCCGCGGATCTTCGTTCGCGGCGCGTTCGGTACGTCGCCGTACCCGTTTCTAGGATCGGAGACGATCAGCTGTTCGCGCGCCGCCATCTTGGATGCGTTCGGTCACGTGGCCGCGGTGACCTCGTGGAGCGTAACGATCGAGGGAGCGAACGAACTTGCCGGCTCCTCCGGCACACGAGCACCGAACTCTGCGAGTTTCATTGATCGTTCAGCCGCGATAAATGTGGAACGTGTCGCGATTAAATAGGTACGTTTTGTTTTCTTTTTTCTTTTTCTAAATAAAAATATATATAGAGCTCGTAAAAATGTTCTTTCCCAGTGTTCCTAAGCACCATTGATATACAGTGTTTCGTAATGTCGTACGGAATTACTCTCTCTCTCTCTCTCCCTCTCTCTCTCTCTCTCTCTCTCTCTCTCTCTCTCTCTCTGGGTAATGAAAGTCGCAGGGTCGCGTGCTCGCGGAACACGGTCGTCGACGCGGAAGAACCGCGAGAGAAGGACCGCGAACGAGAAGAACGGTGAAGAAGAAATGTTACGGACCGAATCTCGTCGGATTGTCAATCGTATAAAACTAACACGTCCCCGCTAAACGATGCACCGTCGACGAGAGATGTCTCGGCGACGTTTGTTACGAATTCGTGCGCGCGTTCCGCTTTTTCCGGGCTGCCTTCGACTCGAAAAGGAACACATCTAAAAACATACGAAAATATACGCTGAATGCAACCGGCGAATGGAATGTTACGAAACAATGTTGCAATCAATAGAACGCTGGTTGAACGGTCATTCAATTGCGGAACGCTAACTCGACGCCGCGATATCGTGGGCGTCTCGATCGATGAGCAGTCACTCTCTGCCACGTGTCTCTATCAAACGATCCGTCGTGTCAAAATTTTTTCGCGGCAGTTCGATGGCAACCGTAAACGACAAAGCCGAACGCTGAATATCCTTCTCTCGCCGTCCGATCGATTATTATTATTACCGTTGACGATCGTTAACGCACTGTGAACAGCAGCCGATGTTTCAATCCTGTTCGCTCTCGATCGCGGAACGCGCGTAACGCTCCGAACCGATTCGAATGATCGAGGGACCTGCGAGCCCGGTATGTCTATCTCTCTCTCTCTTTCTCTCTCTCACTCTCTCTCTCTCTCTCTCTCTCTCTCTCTCTCTCTCTCTACGGCATGGGAGGGAGGTGGGCGAAAAATATAAAAAACGATGACAATGAATGAGCGAGTATGTTTCCTCCCTCTCGTTCTATATATCTCGTAGAACTTAAAAGCTGACTTCGTTGTATCCGGTCGGCGGGAACGACGCGACGAGGACCATCGGGGCATTCCCGGCGCGTAGAAGAGCGTTATTTTCAATATTACTTGTTCACACATCGTCATTACTTTTTTTTCTTTTCTTTTCTTTCCTTCTTTTTTTTTTGTTGTATTGGCAGCAGTGGAATTGAGACATTGTGCGCGTCCGGTCCCCCGGAACGTGGCCGCGGTTTAAATACGCTCGCCGCGGTCGTAACGGAACGGGGGCTCGAGCCTATATACGGAAAATTCGGGGTGGGCGTTCTTCAGCGCCGTCGTTCCTGGATGAGCCGGCAAAGTCAAAGTACCGGGAATATCAATGGTGAGAATTGGTATTTAGCCGCTGTGTGTACCAGGTGCCGCGCGACGCAAAAAGAGCCTGCAGAGATCTCTCTCCCGTCTGTCTGTCGATCCGGCCCGCGCGACGCTTAAGAGAAGATGCGGAGCGCCTGCAAGACCGGCCTGGAGCAGACGGGGCAGCTGGGATCGGGGCTCTCGCAGACCCGGTTACCGCAGTCCAGGCAGAAGTGATTGTGCCCGCATGGTACGAGAGCCGCGGTGACCTCCTTGTCGCCGCACACCACGCATTCCCGTCGACCGCCGCCCAACAGCGAATCCGTGGGTGAGACTGGACTCGCCGACGCCGGCCGCGACGGCCTCGAGGGTAGCGCGACGCCGGGGAACGACCAGATCGAGGAGGCGGACGCTGCCTGTGATTCGAACGACGGCGACTCCCCCAGACCCTCGTCCCTCTCCATTCCGGCGCCCCAAATCGCCACCAGCTCGTTCAGTCCAGGTGCACCGGAACTACTGGACGAGCTGCTGCAACTGCCGCTGCTGGAGAACGCTCCGCTGGATCCGTTCGAGCCGTTCGAGCCTGGTGGGTCCAGGCAGCCGAGGATCGAGCCCAGGCCGCTGCGGCACAGCGCGCTCAGCAGCTCCGAGTCGTCCAGGCTTGGTCCTGTGCCGGTCCTCAGCGCGATGTGTGCCTCTATCTCGCGTCTCGCCGCCTCGACGCTCTCCGGTAGACCCGTCACCTCGAACACCGGCTCCTTGTCGCGACTCGGCGTCACTATGTAGGTGTGCGTCTGGTGCTGGATTCTCTTGATGGTCGCGCCCTTCGGCCCTACCACCAGACCGACCACTCTGTACGGGACTCGTACCTGAATCGTCACGTGGCCGGGAACCGACGCCGGCGGTCCAGGAGGCGCGCCCAGCAGCGCGCCCAACGAGCTCTTGCGCGACGCGCGGATCTGAGAGAAGTGCTCTGCCGCCGAGAGGATCTCGCGCTTCGCTCGGGCCACGTCCTCCTTGCGACCGGTCACCACGAACACCGGCTCCTCGCCGCGTACGGGCGTCTTGATGTACGTGTTCGTCTTCGCTCGCAGCGCCTTGATTTTGCAACCTGGAATCAATACAAATCACGGATTAGACCTCTTCGCGTGACCGAGGAGATTCTGTAGAATCTTATTCGTCGATAGTTTCTTATTTTCGATATGTTTCTACTCGGGGTCCGAATAGACCCATTCGACGCCAGACGACGGCATCTCGCGATTCCCTGTTAGGTATTTAAAGCGTCGGTCGATGCGCAACTTTATCGTTGAAAGTTGCATCGAACCGTTTATTTCACAGTTGTAATAATTTCTTAGAAGAGAAAGAAGGTATACGTTTATTAGGCGCCGTTCGCTTCGACGCTTAAATATCGATGACGCGAACGGGCTTATTACGCGACCCGGTAAAACGAATCTGGCTGCGTCACGTGTTACGGTTAGAAGTTAACCCATCGGATTACCGAGTAATTAATTGAATCTCATCGCGCAGCGAACTAATCGTGAACTGGTAATCGATGGTGGGCAGGATGATGTCCGTAACTCTTGGCGAAACCAGCTGCGACGGACAAGGGTAACGAAATCTAGATTCAGCGACCATCGTCGGAGGATGAACAAAGTTCTCGGCGCGCGTACGATCGGCTCCCGAACGATGCCTATTTAAACTCGGTGCACCACAGACGCTCTCTGGTCTTTCTCGTGACGCAATTGTCTGTACGCGAGGGACAACAGACAGCGCGTAGCGAATCCGCGCACGCTACGAAAAAGGAGAAGGTGGAAGCGGTAGAACGCTGCGGAGAAGGTAGATGGAAGGTGGAGGGACGGAGAACGAGCCGAAGGGAAATAGAGAGAAAGAGAGAGAGCAGGGTGCAGGAAACTGGAAGGAAGGAGGTCCCGACCCGGTCTGGTCCACGGTCTCGCAGACTCTCTGGCCTTGAGCCGGCGCAATGCTAGCAATGCAGGTGAACCACTCCTCTCCCTTTCCTTCTTTCTCCTATCGGCTCCTTCGTTCCTCGCCCCCCTCCCACCGCCCCCCGTCTCGCTCCTTCTCCCTCGGTTCGGTCGCGCTCGCAACGTCCACCTTTCTCCTACCCGCATATCCTTCGCGGCTTCATCCTTCTTGTCGCTTTCTCTCTTTCTCCAAGCTCCCTTTCATTCACTTTACTCTCTCCTTCGCACGGTGAACTTCCAACGAACGCGACACGCCGCCGGCTGTTGCCTCTCTCCCTCTCACTCTCTCACTCCCTCTCTCTCTTTTTCTCTCTTACTCTCCGTCTTTCTCTCCGCGGATCGCATGCCATTGCCTTTCCGTTGCGCTTCGCGGCCGATCCGCGCGTTTTCTACGTTCATTAGCGACTTTTTAATCGGGACTATCGGCGAGACCTATCGGCCGTAAATCAACCAGAACTCGGATTCGGGGATTCGCGCAGATAAGTCCGCGTCGGGGGGAATCATCGGCGAATATCGATGGGAATTAATCGCCGGTGACCTCTTACTTTGTGACTGGAACGGGATCGCGCAGAGAACCACGGATCTACCCCGGAGGTAACGAGGGGAGAATAAACATAAGCTCTAATTCCTGAAGGACGCGATTGTTCGATCGATCTGGCAACGCTTTTATTAGAACTTCGCTCGTCTGTTACGAGCATCGTTTTCTACGAACCGACGATAAAATTGCGCCAGCCTTTGTAACACGGTTTCTTGAATAGCGCGCCAATCTTGCGAGACCTTATGCAAGATTCGACGCGACTCGATCGAGCTTGACTTCGTTCCTCGTTTTGTTAAACATGCAACTAAACTTTAATTGCGGAAGAGTGATCAATCGAGATTAAGTTAAAGTTACCTTGTACGCATCATTTATCGTTGTTCGGAAAGTTGACATCAAATCTTTTATACGAATCCGATGAAACAAACTTTCCGAACAATTAATACACAGTTTTATATTTACAGTTTATTTTTTTGTAGTATATAGTTTCTTTATAGAACAATTTATTAGATTGTCCGGATAACTTTCCGAACAACCAAACACGAACTTTTTAGATCTTAATTTCGTCTTTTCTTTTTTGAACACTTGGCAGCAGTTGAATCTGCGAACATGGTCCGCGAAGATATTTTAATCTGATTTCAACAAATTTACCAGAAGGAGCAACAACCTTCGAATTTTATAGCGTACACGATTTATTCGAAAAAAGCAAAGCGGTCCAGCGATCGAAGCAAAGTTTGCACCGAACGGAAGGCTGACGATTGCCGGCGTCCTCGGAGGAATAATTAACGTTCAACAATACCGTGCGAAAATGTTCCACGAAGTTGCATCGATCGTTGCGTACAGAGACCGAGCAGAAAGGACGCGAGACGCGGCACGCAACCGGGCTCGGCCGATCCGCGGTGCTTTTGCCGCATTCCGGCGACGGGAGAGGATCGCGATGGGTTCCTTTCGTGAGACACGAAGTTATTGCACGACGCCGCGACAATGTCACGGGCGTTCATGGTTCTTCAGGGACGGCGCGGCGCAATCTTGACATCGATACGGCCTTTTGCCGCACGGACGGACAGCGGACGCCGCGCGCCACGCCGCGCGGAGATGCTTCCTCGCTCGAGTCTCGAGCCGTTTACTCGCGCGAGGAAAGGGACACAACACGCGGCACGCACCACTCGCCGAGGTCGTCTCGGGGGCGCGAGCATAATTACGCCCGCAACGTGCTTCTTTTCCCCGTCGGGATTTCAATGGATTCCGGGAATTCTGCGCGCGAAGAAGCGCCGCGTAGGCGTGACACTATTACGCGCCGCGAGACGCGTGAAACGCACCGTCACGGAATTACGCACCTGCACAACCCGATAACGATCCCCTGAACTACATTTTTGCCTCGGCTCTACGCTCTCTGGGCATCGTTTTTTCTTTCTTTTTTTTCTTTTTTTTTCGGTGCGCATAGTGGAGTGCACCCAGGGTTGCAGGCTATACTCGTGGAGCTCTTCGAAATGGAGCTTCATCCTTTTAACCGCGCGATGAACGCGAATAGAAACGTTTGTAATTGTGACTACGTCAGCGGGATACAGTAATGTCTCCCTAACTGACGCTCAGATCGTGCTCAGAAATGGATAATTTGGGAAGAGGAGATACGATTATTCGAGCCTTGCGGCTCGTTTTTATACTTGTTAACAATTCGTAACTATAAAAATGAACCGCAAGGATCGAACAATCGTATCTTCTCTTCCTAAATTGTCCATTTTTGTGGACAATCTGAGCGTCAATTAGAGAGACATTGCTGTCCGCATGACTGTCCACTAAATTGGATAATTTGGGAAGAGAAGATGCGATTGTTCGAGCCCTGCGGCTCGGTTTTATAATCGTGGACGATTTATAACTATAAAAGTAAACCGCAAGGCTCAAATAATCGTATCTCCTGTTCCTAAATTGTCCATTTCTGTGCGCAATCTGGGCGTCAATTAGAGAGACATTACTTGTACACTACTTTCGCAAGTATTCCTCTCCTTAATAATCTAAAAAAAATGAAAATGGTGTAACAAAATTTTGGTGTTTTTTCAGCGTTTTCACTGGCAAGCCGCGTTTGTCGGCGCAAATGCCACGCGCCTATCGAAAGGCTTTCTTAGTAGGAAAATATGAAAATGCGCGGAGGAGAAACAACGAGACCGGGAGGGTAACGTTGTCGCAAGAATGATTTCGTAATGAGCCGAGACGCGATCAGCGCGCGAGAGCGTCCTCGAAGCGCAGAAGGGTAAATCCTGTCTCGGTCCCATCGATCATGCTTTATTTTCGGAACCCATTGTACACAACCTTCTCTTGTCTCGTTTCTTCCTTCGAGCCGGTTTACCTTCGCCGATTATATTCATTCAGCGGTTACATACCTCTCGCGCCTCCCTCTTTAACTTTCCTCGACCCTGAATGCAACGCTTCGGCGCGGCAATTGATGCATCGGGGATTCCACCTTGGGATTCTCGGCGAAACGTGAAAAACCGCCGGCTCCGATAAGCCGGTGAACGGGGACGGGATCTCCGACGTCGATTTCGAGGGAAGTTGAATGGAAATCGAAAACTCTGAATCACGCGGTGGAATTTATTTGCGTGTCCCGAATTTTTGCAGCTCCTTCGATTTTCTAGAAAGTTCGTTGCTGCTCTTTGGTGCAATAAATAGAAAATATAATAAAATATAATATCTGTCTCTTATACACATCTAGATGTGTATAAGAGACAGGCCGGCAACCCTGGGTGCACTCCACTGTGCCTGTCTCTTATACACATCTCGTAGCCAGTCATCTTATATTAAAAAGGAATTTAAGAATTTGTAAATTTATTATTAATATTATTATATATTATTATAAATTTATATATTATATATTATAAATACTGTCTCTTATACACATCTAGATGTGTATAAGAGACAGGCCGGCAACCCTGGGTGCACTCCACTGTGCCTGTCTCTTATACACATCTCGTAGCCAGTCATCTTATATTAAAAAGGAATTTAAGAATTTGTAAATTTATTATTAATATTATTATATATTATTATAAATTTATATATTATATATTATAAATACTGTCTCTTATACACATCTAGATGTGTATAAGAGACAGGCCGGCAACCCTGGGTGCACTCCACTGTGCCTGTCTCTTATACACATCTCGTAGCCAGTCATCTTATATTAAAAAGGAATTTAAGAATTTGTAAATTTATTATTAATATTATTATATATTATTATAAATTTATATATTATATATTATAAATACTGTCTCTTATACACATCTAGATGTGTATAAGAGACAGGCCGGCAACCCTGGGTGCACTCCACTGTGCCTGTCTCTTATACACATCTCGTAGCCAGTCATCTTATATTAAAAAGGAATTTAAGAATTTGTAAATTTATTATTAATATTATTATATATTATTATAAATTTATATATTATATATTATAAATACTGTCTCTTATACACATCTAGATGTGTATAAGAGACAGGCCGGCAACCCTGGGTGCACTCCACTGTGCCTGTCTCTTATACACATCTCGTAGCCAGTCATCTTATATTAAAAAGGAATTTAAGAATTTGTAAATTTATTATTAAT